AGAACCAGGTCTACTGCTAGTCCTATGATATCTTCGTGTTAAGTAAACAGAGCCCCACCCTTGGGCAGATCCAGCCCTGCACCAGAGAGCAGAGCAAGGCATGGGGATAGCAGGTTGTTTCCCTGAAGTGGTAAACAGTCTACACAACACTTTGCAGTAGCCCTACCCAAAACACCCCCAAAGGTCTTCTCAGCACATCCTTACAAAGAGTCACCATGGCCAGATGGTCACTTTAGCAGAATTTGCTCTCAGTAAGTACAAGACAGGAACAGGGACAAGGTTTCTTGCAAATGCATGGGGCTGGTGATTATTTGCAAGTTGCTTTAAGAGATCTGTCCTGTCCCCATTAGGTAGCCTGAGCCTCCAACTTCCAGAATGGCCATCCAAGTTTGGAAAACTTGGAGGTGTTGTCTCTGGTAGCACCCTAACTTCCTAAGCCTTTGGCTGTTTGTAATAAAAACTGGGGTCCCCAGCATTGCTGGAAATTGCAACCATTACATTCTAGAATTGTACTTCAAGTCAGGAGGATATAATATAAGAACTGTTACCCGGACCCTACCTTACTACCCCTTCACCTCCTATACCCCCACGTGCCCTGAAGACTGGCCCCAGCCTCCCTGCGGGCCAGCTCACCAGCCAGGGGACAGGTTCATGAGGGCCACACAGAGTCCCAGAACATCACAGTACCAATGACTTGTTGAGATAGCATCAAAAAACTGGGAAACCAGGATGCAAAAGGGGTAAGTCCCTCACACCAGACCACAGGACAAATAGTGACTACTATCTGCATATACTTTCTGGCAAGTGTGGAAAAGCTTTTGAGAACCCATATGTGCCGAACGATCCGCATATAGAAATCCCAACCAGATTTTCTATGTGAGAGAGGTTTAGAAGTGGCAGTTTCCTGGCAGGGGTGGTGGCAGGTGCTGAGGACACTTGTCTTGAAGTTGCATTTGCAGGGCAGACATAGAGTTTTCTAGTGAGCTCGCCTTTAGTTTGCCTGGGGAAGCTATGACAGGCAGCTAGGATTGTAGGAATTAATTGTCTGGAGGCTACATTTGCATAGCAAACCCATTGTGCTTGCTGTAAATGTCACAGATCAACACAAACAGCAATGATCTCTACAAATATTTTTATTCACAGTGTACATTAGATTGAGAAGCATGAGTTGTTAATATTCAAGAATATACTCATGAGAATTAGTCTATAGGAAGGGGAGGCTTGGATTTACTGCTAGAGATTTCTGAGGGGTTCCTGGGTAGCACAAATGGTTAAGTGCTCAGATACTAACTGAAAGGTTGGTAGTTTGAGTCCACTCACCTTAGAAAGTGGCCTGGTATGGTAATCTACTTCCCAAAGATCCCAGCCATTGAAAACCCTATGCAGTGCAGTTCCACTCTGACACACATGGGGGCGTCATGAGTCAGGCTGGTGGCAGCTGGTTTGGTATTTTCAAGTCTCCCAACCAGTAGAGTAGGTCCCGGGGCTGGGGAGAATAGTTTATCCTTGGCTACTGGCTGGCAGTTCGAACTGGGCCAGTGGAAACCCTACGGAGACCAGTGCTACTTTGAAACACCTGGGTCTCCAGGGGCCGGAACTGTCCGCAGGTTTTTATGCATCAGAATCTGCTTCCAGAGAAAAGGCTGATTTATCATTCACTTAAAGAGGATGGCATCGAAGGCCTCTGAAAGCTCCCCCAGCAGGGAACTGGAGGGAATGAGACTGGTTCTTATTGAAGGATAGCTGAGGGAAGAGGAGTTAAAAGTAGAGATGCTGCATTCTGCGGCATACCAGCTGTGTGACTTTGGGCAATCCCCTGACTTCTCTGAGCCTCCATTTCCTCACCTGTCAAGGAAGCATGCTAGCGGCAGCTGCCTCCTCAGTAGTTGTGCAGGGAATGCAGAGAAGTCTGTGAGAGCCGGTCTACGGTCGGTCTAAGGGACTGCCTTGTTTTTGCAAGTCTCATAAATTTTCTGCCTTTAGACAGGGTATAGTTTTACCACTTTCCTCTTACTTATTTCAGGGGAAAATATTTGCGTCTTACTTCTCTGACAAGTTTCTACCTTACACAACTTCTGACTTTCTCAGGCTTTACTGTACCTGAGATGGTCTTAGCATGGTGCCTGACACATAGTAAACACTCAATAAAACGCCCTACAATCAGGTTTGGAGTCCCTGGGTGGTGCAAAGAGTTAAGCAGTCAACTACTAAATGAAAAGTTGGCAGTTCAGAGTCATCTCAGAAGAAAGATGTGCTGACTGTTTCCGAAAAGTCACATGCAAGAAAATTACATGGAGTGCAGTTCGATTCATAGTGTAACACAGGGGTCTCTATGAGTCAAAATCTACTCCAGGGCAGCTACTTTCTTCCTTTCTTTTTGTTTTTTAAATCATGTTCTCAGGCATCACTACTGGGGTTCGTAAACAAATGATTCACTGTGAAGCTAATAATGCCGATGTTCCTGAGCCCCTCCCAAGCCCTGTATTGAATTTGGTATTTGTAAATCTGTAATCCGGACAGCTAACCACAAGGTGGGAGGTTCAAACCTACCAGTTCCTCCTTGGACACTCTATACAGGGTCGCTATGAGTCAGAACCGACTTGATGGCACTTTACAACAACAACTAACAATGTTCCTTAAAGCCCCCCCACTGCCTTCTAGTGGATTCTGAGGCATGGTGGTCTTATGTAGGGTTTCCTGAGGCTGTAAATCTTTATGGAAGCAGAAAGCCTCATCTTTCTCCTGCGGAGCGGCTGGTGGGTTTGAACTGACTACCTTGTGGTTAGCAGTCCAGTGCTCACCCTATACAGCTACTAGGGCTCTTTAAAGACAGACTCCCCTCTAAATAGTAAACGCTTTAAACATCAGAACACTTGGCTCTGCCCTGATGTTCACAGAACAGAGAGAAGCTATCTTCCCTTGGAACGCTGAGATGAGAGACCTTGTGTGTTTCATCTTTTCTTCCCCAGAGCTGGGCCTGAGGCCTCGCAGACCACGATGCTCCTCTACCCACTGATGCTTGACAAAGCCAGACTCAACACTTCATATCAATTCTGCAGCACTAGCAAAAGGAGCTCTGGTAGCGTAGTGGTTACGAATCGGGCTGCGAAACTACCAGCTGCTCCGCAGGAGAAAGATGAGGCATTCTGCCTCCCGTAAAGATTAACAGCCTCGGAAACCCTGTGCAGGGTGGCTATGAGTCGGAACCGACTCCACGGCACATAACCACAGCAGCACAGTGACCATACCGTTATACAGACAAGGAAAGACACCTAGATCGGAAGACGAAAGGAGATTGACCAAGGGCCTAGGATCAGCTAGGGGCCCCAGATGGACTGGTTTGTGAATGACCTAACCCACAATTGATCATGAGGATGGCACAGGACTGGATAGCATTTCATTCTGTTGAGTTTCAGACCAACGTCATGGCAACTAACAACAATTCCTGTTCCCGTATTAATTTCAAGGAAAACTAACAGTATGGGTAATTCCTCACTGAAGAACTTGTTTATGTGTTAGTGCTGGACCGCTCTCCTTCATACTGCCAGGCATCACCACCTCACTTCCTATGGCCAAGGAGAACCTCTTCCTCCAGGCAGCCCTCTCTGAATACCTCTCCCATCTCCCGTTTCAGTTGGTAGGTGTCACTAAGTCACATTCCCTATTTTTCTTGGGTTTGGTTGTCTCTCCTGTAGGTATAAGTCTTATCTTAAGTGCCTTGTGCCCTACCCTGGTGTCCAGAATGGTCTGGGCACAAGTGAGGGGCCTCATAGTGACTTGCAGTCCCATCTCCTCCCAGCCTCATCAGTGTCTTTTTATGAAATGCCTGACCGCAACCTGTAACCTTTGATCTCCTAGGGATTACTTTCTTTGAGAGCCTGCAAACAGCTTGGGTTCTGGATTCTAACAAATTAAGGATCAAATCCCCACTGAGCCATTTGCTGAGTGACTCTGAGCAAGTCACTGCACCTCTCTGAGCCTCAGTTTTTTTTCTCTGGAAGAAATATTTTCCCTAAGGATCATGGAACAAGGACTTGGTACCGGGGCTGAGAATTTACATTGCCACTCCAGATATACTGAATCAGAACTGACATTTTGAAAGCTCCCCAGGATGAGATTTCATGCTCCCATAGAGATTTACAGCCTTGAAAACCCCATAGAGGGTCGCTATGAGTCGGAACGGACTCCATGGCACACCACCACCACCATCATCACCACCAGGTGATGATTTCTTAAGAAGCCTGGTGGCACTGTGGGTTAGGCGCTGGGCTGCCAACTAGAAGGTTGGTGGTCGCTGATCCGAAGGAGACTGAGGTTATATGCTCAGTAAAAAAAACTTAATCTCGAAAACTCTACATCCAGTCTCTATGAGTTGGAATTGAATGCAAATCTTGTTAAAATGTGCATACTTTTTCAGAGTATCTGAGGTGAAAATAAAAATCCTCAGCTGGGGTAGAACCAGAACTGATATCCTCATTTAGTAGGAGTCCTGGTGTAGCGGTGGATAAGCACTGGACTGCTTAACTGAAAGATCAAGGGTTCAAGCCCACCAGAAACCGTATGAATCGAAAATGACTTATGGGCACTTGACAACTGCAACAACACATTCTAAGCGGTGGTGCTGTTACTTCTCCTCTTTTACTTCTGAGTAAAGGGAAGATCAGAGAGGTTGAGTAACTTGCCTCAGGCCACACAGCTTGGCATTCATTCCTAAGCCTTCATTGTGACTAACAAATCGAATGCACCACACAGCTCCAAGCACATACTTAGAGCTCAATAATGAGACATATTTCCTGTAGACTTAAGAAGATCCAGAAGACCGAGTGGAACTCAGCCTCCAAGAAGCAGCTGGGAAGAGGGATCTAGGGAAGAAGAGGTCGGTCGGATAGAACCAGACAGACTGGAACCTCAGCGGTCTCTAGCCCCAAAGGATCGGGACCTCCGGTGGCGCAGCCACGGAAGGGAGTGTGGAGGGGGCGCGCAGGCAATGGAGGCGTTACCTTGGGAGGGAGGGCGAAGACCACCGGCAGCAGCAGGAGCGGCGTGCAGAACAGCACCAGCAGCCGCCGCGCGCTCCAGGCCTTTTTGGCCAGAGCCGCCAGCGCCGCCATCAGCGCGATCGCCCGGCACAGCCGGCCAGCTTGGGACTGTCCGCGCCTGGCCCGGACGCCGGCTTAAAGCCCAGGGGAGGGCTCGGGGAGAGGACTGCGCTTGGGGACCCGCCCTCTCTTTACTCCTCCCGGAGAAAAGGGTGGTGCCTGAGCCCCCGGGACTAGGTGAAAGAGGCCCTGGGAAAGTTAGGAAAAGTTCGGCACAAGGACTGACGAACAGAGACTGCGTGCGACCTTGAAGGCAACCAGACTTGGGGTTTAAGCATCACTGCTGCCCAGCCTTAGCGCCTCGGAAAACTGGCTTAATGGTTCTCGCTGTTGTTTGTTGTTGTTAAGTGCCATCAGTCGGTTCCGACTCATAACGACCCTGTGTAGGGTTTCTGAGGAGCGGCTGGGGAGCTTGAACCGTCGACTTTGCGGTTCAAACCGTCTTGGCAGTCCAGCGCATTAATCCGCAGCGCCACACCAGGACTCCCCATACAATGCATGATATTGACAGTGTGAGGATTAAAAGCATGATCATGTGGAAAAGATGTGGCCGTCGGCTTAGAAACCCTATGGGGCAGTTAGAAATCCTACAGGGTCACACTCTGAGTTAGAATAGAATCTGCAACAATGAGTTACAGGTAACTGTTGTTGATGTTTTAAGTGCCATCAAGTGGGTTCGCCATAGTATAGGGTAACCTTCCAACCTTGTGGTTCACAGTCCAGTACTGTTGATAAGTGCTGTGGAGTCTGGGTTCAAATTCTAGCTCTGCCACATAGTAGCCCTGTAGTCTTGAGAAACAGCCTCCATGCCTCAGGACGTGCTGATGATAACAGAAACAAGGTTGTTGGGAAGTTTACATGAAACAATGCATGTTAAGTGTTTATTTTAGCATATTGCCTGGTACAAAGCAAGGGCTCAGTTGTTGTTCTGTGCTGTAGTGTCAGTTCCAACTCACAGTGACCCTGTCTAAGGCTTCCGAGAGCGGCAGGTGGGTTTGAACCACTGACCTTGTGTTTACCAGTTCAGTGCGCTCCCTACAGCACTATACTAGGGCTCAAGCGCTCAGTAAGGGTTGTTATTGCATATTGCACAACAGACCAAGAATGCATAAATCCATTGCTGCTAAAGCTTATGCATCCCCTACATAAATACTGATTGCATGGATTCTAATTTCTTTCTTACTGATATTTTTTAAACTTTGCAATGTTCTAATATGGAGTACTGGTGTGGTGCTCTGGTTTAATGTGCGAGACTGCAAGGTCGCTTTGAACTGCAAGGTCGGTGGTTCAAGCTCACCAGCTGCTCCTCAGAAACCCTATACAGGGTGGCTATGGGTCAGAATTGACTCGACAGCACTTAACAACAATGTTCTAATATACAGCTCTTTTTCATATCCTCGTGGGCACTTGGTATTAATTTCAAAATACTATAAAGCTCTCGTAGCGTAATGGTTACGAATCGGGCTGCGAACCTTAAGGTCAGCGGTTCGAAACTACCAGCCGCTCCGCGGGAGAAAGATGAGGCTTTCTACTCCTGTAAAGATTTACACCCTCGGAAACCCTGTACAGGGTCGCTATGAGTCAGAACCAATTCAACAGCACAACACTACCTCCACCACCACCATAAAACTACAGTAATTAAAACAGTCTAATTCTGGCATAATAATAGACAGATAGGCCGATGGAATAGAACTGAGAGTCCAGAAATAATAATCCAAGCATCTATGGTCAACTGATAAATGCATCCAATGAACAAGGAAGATCCTTTTCAATAAACAGCTCTAGGAAAATTTAATCTCCACATGCAGAAGAATGAACTATGATCCAACCTTGACATCAGACACAAAAACCAGTTCAAAATGTGACAACGGAAACCATAAAATTCATAGAACAAAATGTAGGGGTGTTTAGCCACAGACTGTCAGATATAACTACAAAGCAGCAAAAAAAAAAAGAAAAAAAGAGCTCAATAGGACCTCGTAAAAATTCAATACTTTCCTTCTTTTAAGGACTTTATCAAGAAAGTGAAGAGATGACCTTCAGATTGAGAGAAAATCTGATGACAATGGTCAGATAGCTAAAAGACATAAAATAATTCTACAACTTAACAAAAAGGCAAGCAATGCAATCAGAAAACAGGTAAAGGACTTGAATAGACATTTCGCTAAAATAAGTGGATATTCAAATAACCAATAAGCACATAAAAAGGCACTTAACGTCATTGTTGGTGGTGGTAAGTGCTGTTGCGTTGGTTCTAACTCATAGTGACCCTGTATAGAGTTTCTGAGGAGCAGCTGGTGAGTTAGAACCTCCAACTGACCTTGCAGTCCAGTGCTTATCCTACAGCGGCACATTCAAAACTCCAAAACCATTGTCAGTGAATTGCCTCCACCTCCTAGTGGCCCTAAAGGATAGAGAACTGTCCTCCAGAGTTTCCAAGGTTGTACATCTTTACAGAGGCAGAGTGACACATCTGTCTGTTGTGGAGCAGTGGGTGGGTGCAAACTGATAACCTTTCAACTAGCAGCCCACTGCTTTAATCGTTGAACTACCAGGATGCCTTTCATTAGTAATTAAAAAACAAAACAAAACAAACTGCACTGCCATCAAATCAATTCTGACTCGTTGTTGTTGTTGTTAGGTGCCATCAAGTCAGTATTGACTCATAGTGACCCTATGTACAACAGAACGAAACACCACTGCCCGGTCCTGGGCCAACCTCACAATTGTTGCCAGTTTGAGCCCACTGATGCTGCCACTTCGCCGATCCATCTCATTGGGGCTCTTCCTCTTTTTCTCTGACCCTCCACCTTACCAAACATGATATCCTTCTCCAATGACTGGTCCCTCCTGACAATATGTCTGAAGTATGAGAGACAAAGTTTGGCCATCTTGGCCTCCAAGGATCACTCTGGCTGCACTTCTTCCAAAATGGATCTATTGGTTCTTTTGGCAGCCTATGGCACTTTCAGTATTCTCCTCCAACACCACAACTCAAAAGTATCAGTTATTCTACGGTCTTCCTTATTCACTGTCCAGCTTTCGCAGGCATATGACTCATTGTTGTTGTTAAGTTCCATCAAGTCAATTCCAACCCATAGTGACCCTGTATAGGGTTTCCAAGCAGCAGCTAGTGACCCTATAATAGGATTTCAAAGACTGTAAATCTTCACAGAAGTAGACAGCATCATCTTTCTCCCAGGAGTGGCTGGTGAGTTTGAACTCTGCAGTTAGCAGCCCAATACCTAACTCTCAGCACCACCAGGGCCACTTGTTTAGTGCTGTTGAGTTGGTTCCAACTCACAGCCACTCTGTGTGTGGTTCCCAGGAGCTGCTGGTAGGTTTGAACCCCTAGCCTTGCAGTTAGCAGTCGAGTGCTCATGCTACAGCACCACGCCAGGACTCTTATTCATTAGCCATCATTGTCGTTGTTGGTGTTAAGTGCTGTTGAGTGGGTTTCAAGTCATAGGATTACTGTATAGAGTTTCCGAGGAGCGACTGGTGGGTTTGAACCTCCAACTTTGAGGCCCAACAAATTATCCTGCAGTTCCACACCAGGAGAAGCAAATTAGAACCAAACCCCAAACCCAAAATGAGATATCCCTGAGAATGACAATAATTAATAAATAAATAAAACAGATGGTGGTGAGGTTGTAGGAAAACTGAAGGCCTCATGCATTGCTGGTTGGAATGGAAAATAGTACAGTTGAAGGTAAAATGGAAAATATTTAAGTGGCTCTTCAACTGAATACAGAATTACTGTATGGCCTAGCAATACCAACCCTAAGTATATACTTTGTTTTGTTGTTGTTGTTGTTTCAAGTGCCATCGAGCCGGTTCCAACACATAGTGACCCTGTATAGGGTTTCCAAGGAGCAGCTGGTGAGCTTAAACCGCTGATCTTGCAGTTCATACAGTTTTGCAGTCCAGCGCATTAACCCACAGCACCACACCAGGACTCCAAGCATATACTTGACCTATTCCCAAACCCACTGCCATAGAGTGTATACTCATCAAGACTCTATAGGAAAAAGTAGAACTGCTCCATAAGTTTCCAAGACTGTTATCTTTACAGAAGCAGACTGCCACATCGTTCTCCTGCAGAGGAGTCTGGTGGATTCGAACCACTGGCTTTTGAGTTAGCAATCCAATGTTTACCTGTTGCTCCTTCTACTGGATCCAGGAGATATGAAAGTAGGACTACAAACAGAAACCTGTACATTCACTACAGCACTTTCCACACTAACCAAAAGGTGGAAATAACCGAAATACCCATCAGCAGGCGAGTGGATAAACAAACTGTGATATATACACACAGAGATGTCATAGGAGGTGGGAGTGCGGGGCGCAGTCTAGTAGAATGAGTTAAGCATTGGAAACTGTCAGAGGCGGCAATCCAGAATCCATGGCAGTGAATGAGGGGGTAGACGCATGCTGCAGGGAGGAGGAAGGGACTTCAAGGAGGCAGTGGTGGTGTTACTGGGGTTGGTATTAGCACCCAGTGCGGTAACTGGGTCATCTGACAGTCAGGGTGGGATTAGGTGGACAGCAGCAGTCACCTTTGGGAGGAGAGGTGGGTCTCTGCCTTGACCAATGGAAGAGTTGAGGAGCTATGGGGAGGAGAAGGGGAGGGGACAGACAGGGAAGCACTCCTACCCATCAGTCAAGAGTTTGCCTATTGACCCCGCTCACAGGGGGGTGGGTATGGAAGTGGCACAACTTTAGTGACTCATTGTATACACACAGTGGAATGTTGTTGTTATTGTTGTTATGTGCCGTCGAGTCGATTCCAACCCATAGCGACCCTGTATAGGGTTTCTGAGAAGCAGCCGGTGAGCTTGAAACAGGGACCTTGCAGTTCAAACGGCTTTGCAGTCTGGCGCATTAACCTACAGCGCCACCGCAGAACTCCAATTAGAATGTTACTCAGCTATAAAAAGAAGTGAAATTCTAGTGCTTGCCTTAACGTGGATGAGCCTTAAAAACATTGTGCTGAGAGAAATAAATCAGTCACAAAAGGACAAATATTGTATGAACTCACTTAG